TAGCTGGTGTTTTTAAAAGATGAGTTTGTAGTGTTTCTTAAACTGTAACTGTATTGTCTACTAATGAACTACTGATAGTCTTGCATTTTCCTTTGAAATATAAATCATTCCTTTTTCTTATTGAGTTTCACTGCCTGAGATCTCCAATCTGATGCTAACAGTAGTGGTCACTGGCATCCTTTTGTTTTAATGAGATAGCTTCTGATATTTCACCATCTCACAGGTTTTTTTGTTTTGTTTTGGTTTGTTTTTGGTATTGGGGATTGAACCCAGGGACACTTAACGACTCAGCCACATCCCCAGCCTTTTTTATATTTTATTTAGAGACAGAGTCTTGCTAAGTTACTGAGACTGGCTTTGAACCTGCGATTCTCCTGCCTTGGCCCTTTGAGCTTCTGGGATAACAGACATGACCACTGCACCTGGCTCACAAATATTCTTTACCAAATTAAGGAAATATTCTTCTTCTTTTTAATTTTTTAAAATTTTTTTTAGTTGCAGATGGACACAATACCTTTATTTTGTTTATTTACTTTTTTTAAAAATGTGGTGCTGTAAGGGTCCGGCGAATGATGGAGGAAGAGACTACCAAGAGACTGACTCATGCAACAGCAAAAGGGGGTTTATTGAGGATCCACCGCGCTGGGGCTCCAGGCTCACTCAAGAAGGGAGAGCGGCCAAGAGTCCCGAGCAGAGGTTGAGCAGTGCTTAAGTACACTTTTTTAGGGAGGGCAGGGACTTTACATACATCACAGTCCCCTCTAACAAATCACCATACACAGAGGGAAAATCAAACAACAATTCTCAAACATGATTAGTACATTCATTGGCGGGAGCAGGTCGGTCGGGAGTGATAGGTCAGCCCTAGGGAGAGGATACATTCAAACTGATTGGTTTGGGCCCTGAGGTGCCTACGTGCGGAGCTGCACAGGGTCCAGGTTGTTAAACAACTAAGTGGTCAGGGGGAATTTCGGCACATATCTAATGGGCAGTCCCGGGAATTGTTTTAACAGCGACAGGGATTTCAGGCTTTGAGTGTAGCTTAGAAACTTAACAATACCTGGTCCTTTACATTTTAACTCAGGCTTTGCAGCTTAGAAACTTTACAATACCCGGTCCTTTACATTTTAACTTCAATTTCTTTTACTCTTTCAGTGCTGAGGATCAGACCCATTGCGTCACACATGTTAGGCGAGTGCTCTTTAACATTGTAGCCCCTAACCCTGAGCCTTTCCACCTATTTTGCCAGCCATAGTTTCCCCGCCCCCCCATGGTGTTTCCCGATATCTGAAGTACTACATATTTAAATTATTTATTTGTTCTCTGTCTTCTTCTGATATAATGTTAAGCTCCATCAGGCCAGGTATTTTCTGCCTATTTGCTTTTACTAGAATTTCATGTAAATGGACCCATAATATGTAATCTTTTGTGTCTGGTGTCTTGCACTTAGCCTAATAAAGTTTTTTTTTTATTGATTTATTTTATTTATTTATTTTTTTAAACATCAGAAATTTATTGGTTGCTCAAAACATTACATTGATCTTGACATATCATATATCATACATTTGTTTCAAATGGGATATAAATTCTTATTTTTCCCCGTGTACAGATTGCAGGATCACATTGATTATACAGCCATGTTTATACATACTGCCAAACAAGTGTCTGTTGTATTTTGCTGCCCCTCCTATCCCCTTCCTATCCCCCCTCCCCTCTTCTCCCCTCTCCTCCCCTCCCTCTACCCCATCTACCATATCTCATTTCTCTCACTCTCATTTTTTCCTCCCCTTTGCCTCACATCCTCTTATATGTATTTTTGTATAACAATGCATGTCTCCTTCCCTCTTCTGTGCAATTCCTCCTCTCTCTCCATTCCCTCCCACCTCTCGTCCTTATTTGATGGTAATCTTCTTCTCATGCTCTTCCTCCCTGCTTAATAAAGTTTTTGAGTTCCATAGATGTATTGATAACTTGTTTCTTTTTATTGTTGTGTAGGAGTATTATTATTTTTTATTTTATTTTTAGGTGGTGCTGAGTATCAAACACACGGCCTCATGCATGCGAGGCAAGCACTCTACCACTGAGCCCCAGCCCCAGCCCAGATTCCACAATATTAATACACTATAATTATTCACTCACTAGCTGTTAGACATTGGGTTGTTTCCAGTTGTGGGCTACTGTGAATAAAGGTACTATGAACACTTGTGTATATGCTTTTGTACTTAAGTTTCCATTTCTCTTGAGTAAATCTAGGAGTATAATTACTGAATTGTATGGTCTAAGAAATTGTCAAGTTGGTTTTGAAAGGCGCTGGAGCAGTTTGCATACTGCTAGCAATGTGTGAGGGGGTCCAGGAATTTGCTCCACACACACACTAGTACTTGTTATGGTAGTTCTTTTTAATTTTAGCCATTTGTAGAAGGTGTGTAATGTTAGGTGCAGGGCAGGCTGAATGAATGTTAGCTGCAGGATAACCCAAGCACCCAAACCCCCCTCTGTCTGGTCCTTTATCACCTGTTTGCATCAAGTCTGAACACTCAACCCCACTCAAGGCTGAACACTCAACCCCCATCTGTCTGGTACAAGAGAAACCCACATCTGACCCCTGCCCCATTGCCTGAAGGCAGAAGATGACACCCTTAGCAAATACTGTATTATCCAATCGCTGTACCCCAACAAGGCAGCTTGCAAACCCAAAGACCCCATTAGATTTTGGCTATAAAAAAATCCCTCCTGCTGGGCCCCTCTCTCTTGCTCTTGCCCTCTCTTTCTTCTCTTGCTTTCTCTCTTCTCTCGCTTTCTCTTTTTCCTCCCCTTTTGCACTGCTGCAATAAAGATCTCTTGGTCACTCTGAGTGTTGTGGTCACTTTCCTTTCATGTAATGTTACCTCCAGTGCTTCATTTGCGTTTTCTTAATACCTAAAGATGCTGCACATCTTGTTTGTGTGCTTAATTACTATTTACCTATTTTCTTTAGTGAAGTAGTTGTTCAAATATTTTGCACAATTTTTTTGTTTGTTAACTTTATTTTTTTAGTTTTATGTGGTCACAATATCTTTATTTTACTTTTATATGGTGCTGAGGATCTAACCCAGTGCCTCATGCATGCTAGGCAAACACTCTACCCCTGAGCCACAACCCTAGTCCCTATTTTGCACAATTTAAAAAACTGGGTTGCTTGTCTTCTTATTGACTTTAAAAGGTTATTTATAGACACAAACACAAATCCTGTGTTTGTTCTGAAAATATTTTCTCTTAGCCTCTTCATCTTGTTGACAGTGTCTTTTCAAGAAGAAAAGTTTTGATTTTGATGAAATTAAATTTGTAAATTTTTAGTTTTTTTGTGCTATATTTTTTTCTATGTAAATATGATAGTTTTAGTTCTTAAATTTATCTGACCGGATTTTTCCAATTCATCTTTACATCTCTGTGCTTAACAATATTGCCAAAAAAAAAAAAAAAAAAAAAGGTGCTGAAACCTGTTGCAAGTGTTTGGACATTAACACAGGTGGCCTTCTCTAGGCCCCAGGTATTTTAGGGAATGCTGTGGCACCTCTTTGTAGTGTGATTGACATTTCTATCTGATCAACAAGACAAGGAAACCAGTGTGACCTGTTCCATTCAGTGATAAGTTCCCTCATAGGAATGTGCTCTTTCCTTATGGGAAGTCAAGCTAGAAACACATTACAGAAATTGACATCACCCTCTTCTCATCCAAAACGTTTTGCTTACTTCTGCCCTGGTGAATTCCCCACTAAGCTGCAAGCTATCCAAGGCAGATTCGGGTGTCTTGTTTTCTATCTCTATGATTGAGACGTATTTTAGTAAATATCTTCTGGATGACAGGAAGACTCCCTGGGCCTGCTGTTCTGCTGTAATGGAAGATACCAGAAGGTGTGGTGCAGTTTCCATGTCCACTCCTCATTAAGTTCAGAATCATTTTCCTGCAATATTTAAAGCCTTCGTAGTACGCCCCAGCCTTTAGCACAGCGCCTGGCTTGCAGTAAGGAACCGGAGAGCAAAATGAGAACATTGGTACAAAGTCCCAAAGCCACCATTGGGCAACCTTCAGGCGTCACCTGCGGTGAAAAACATTAGGGATGGAATCCCAATTCCTCGGGGCCACACAGCCAACTCCCTGGTTAAGCCCTTTATTTCGAAAATTTCGGGTTTGTGGACCCATGGATGCCTCCCTGTTAGGAGCGTGCCGCCAAACGCGAAGCCCGGGATCTGAGAACTTCGTGGATTCCGAAGGCTCACGCCGCGAGCATCGCAGCACGGGTCGCCTAGCAACGGCGGGTCGATCGCTCGGCGCTCGACCAGATCGGGCCGGCTTGGAGACGCGGCGCTCCTTGCGGAGCCTCTC